GGGGGAAGAAGAAAAAAAAAAGCCCTATTCATATACCTTCAGAAGCTATGAAGCCCTACGAGCAGACTGCAGGAAAGAGGAGCAATAGGTAACCAGTCAGATGTGAAGAAACTGAGAGAGAAATCCATGTTCTCAGATAACTGTCCTAATGGACCATTATCCTGTGCCCAGCGTTCATCCACCCAGCCAACACAGGCCTCCTCCATACCTGCTGGTGCTCGGCCACCTCCTGAGCTGCCTCCTCCTGGCACACAAACCCTTCTCCCTGCTGCCAGTGCAGCACAGCACAGCAAGCAGGACCTCTGCTTTGGCATGAAGCCTCCAGAGTTCAGATTCACATTAACCCCATCTTAGCCAAGCCATTCCATTGCCCTAAAGGGTCAGGCCTCCTTTTTCAAAGGGATGTAAAGCTGCCCTCAGAGCCAGGGCACACTTTTAAATGTGTCAAAGCTACACAGGCAGCCACGTCGTGCTGGCCTTCAGTGACACTTGAGCAGCAATGTAAGAGCACTTGAGCATGTTTTCTCCCGGGTCACTGATCACACCAAAGTAAGGCTGCACTCCTCTTGTCAGGGGTGTTTTGTCTCACAGTACCTGTGCCGGTTTGCAGCAGCAGTCCCCAACACTGCAGTGCCAGGGACCCCACCACGAATTAACAGAAGCCGGAGGGGCTCTGTATATAAACACACACACTCCCAGCCTGGCAGCACAGGGACATGCAAGCAAGCTTTTCCCACTAACACGAGCCACATACAACGTAGCAGTGACAAGCCACGATCCTTCGCATTTAACGCACATCCTCACATTCAGAACCGCGCTTTGTGACCCTCACTGGTACGTGCTGGGGACAGAATTCGGCCCTTAGTTGCCCCCTGCCTCAATTTACCCCTGCACATAAACAGTACACCAACATCATACACAGCAAACCCACCATCATGGGATGGCATGTGACCCAAGGCATAGGGGTTTGCAAAGACATCCGTGCACATTGGTGACAGCCCGCTGTTCGTTTCAAATCAAGTAACATATGCTTAGGTATTATGTGCTATGAGTCATAGCTGTTGTCACAGTTTAAACTCAGTCTTCATTCTGCTGGGTCAGCAGAAGCTTTGCCTGAGAAAGGACTTCAGGAGCAAGAAAGCTATTGTTTATGCCATAAAAAACTACTCCTGTCAAATAAACTAAACATATTTTTAAAAGAGCTTACTAGGGATACCTCATTGTTGAAAGCTCTTGCTGCTTTACAGTATCTTCCCAAGTATTGTGCAATTGCCTCCTGCTCAGGGACTGACAAGCCACTTTCAATTTAGGCTGCCCGAGACTGCCTTCATTTTGACCCAAAGAGAAAATCCCTCTTGCTCCCTAACTCTAGACCATCATGCATTTGCAGCACTATCCTTGTTCTTCTGAAACAAGGCAAAGAAAAAGCTCACTTGATCTATTCTACCTGCTTTGACATCTTACTGTATTGGAAAGACTCAAGTTTTGTCTCTTGAAAGGCAGGGGCCAGACGAAATCAGACAAAAATACCATGCACGTGTCAACCTCATTACAGACCAACCCTGTTGACTGAAATGCAAGTGTCCTGGTTTGAGCAAGGATGAAGCCAATTTTTCTTTTTACTGATTTTTTTTCCTTCAGTAAGCTTTCTTGTAACTAGCAACAGTGTGTTCTGCTAGGCTGATAAGACAGAGGAATGTTTTTCTAACTACTGAGGCTTCAAGGCCGCACCTGCACTCTGCCGGCTCAGACACTATGGGGAGATCTGTGACCCCCCCGTAGGAGGCTGAGTTAGACAGACAGCAAAATTGGCCAAAGATATTCCATTCCATATATCTACGTAAGCTCAGAGGAAGGTCAGAGATCACAGAAGACAACTTCCTTCCTTCTTCTTCTTCCCTTCTCTTCCGTCCATGGCTGGCGTCCGTTGAGGACCCTGTTCATCCATCACCATCAACCCTTAGGCTCGAGATCTCCTGACCCCCATAACTCTCTGCTTTCTCCAGCAGCAGCTCCGGGATTCCTCGGGACTCTTCCCAGTTCAGGGAAGTGCTGTGGGAGTTGCTGGGGTGGGGGGAGGCGAGAGGCTTTTGCCCATACCTGAATATATATATATCTGTATATAATTGTATATATTTTCTTGTATGATTCATTAGTGTTTTAATTAAACCTGTGTAGTTTAGTTTTCAATCCAGCCAAGTCTCTCTCTCTTTTTCTCTCTCTCCTTCCCTACCTGGGTTGGGGGGAGGGGGGGATTGAGAGCATTGTTGTCGGACCTGAGTCAAACTGTGACAGCAAGGAACCCAAAAGATCCTTTTTCAAACAAGTTTAAAAAATCGTAACAAATGACAAATTTTTCTCTCCCACAAATGTAGGCAAATAGTAATTTCCATCAATGCAGGTGAGATCAATGTGTAGATTTGAGTGTCAAAAATGGAAAAAACTCCACAACCCAAACCCAAAGTGGCTGGAAGCAGGTGGTGCAGGGTCCTCCCTAGAAGACGTGAGGTTTGCAGAGAACCAGCCCTGACACCACTTCATGGAAACCCACCCATAGAATCAGCAGCTCTGCTGCAGAGTGACACCCACCCACCCAAATCCTGTTTGCAGATCTTTGGGGCAGTCAGTTTAGTGAGGTGGCAGGCCTGGGCTGCACTCCTGTGCCTTCCTCTCATAACTGTCTTGTTTGCTACCCAGAAATAAGCAGTGACCGAAAAGAGCAGCACAACAA